AGTTAAATTTGGGGATTTTCAATCAATCTTTGCTAGAGATTTTTGCATTTGATGTTGGTTGTACCGCAAACTCACTAAATGTTTATTCTCCAGAGTGATACAACGAACTTTTCAGATTAGTTTTGTGCCTCAATCACCTCTTAAATTTAGATAAAGTATTCAGAGAGTTGATGTGTGATTCAATATTTAAATGGCTGAACATTTATACTATCCGAACAAAAAAGGTTTTCAAAACCGCCAATAATCACACTTGTTCCCACGACGTTCAGTTTACTGGTGCGCTATTACAACTTTGATCAGAAGAGTGACAAAGTAAATTACCCAATGAGGAACAATTTCTCGTAGATTTTCTCACTCAGTGTAAATCAAATGATCTAGATCAGGAATCCATCAATTTGCGAGTCACTGGATTTCATCAAAAGTTTGGTGTAGGGCGAATGTTGAAATGAGCATTCTGTCCACATCTGTAGAAGGAAAATTTTATTCGCTCAACCCGTAAACTTTTATACTACAAAACTGGTGTTTAGAACCATATTGATCACTTATATTCCGGTCCGTGATACCGTGAATGAGAGAATGAGTACAATGAGTGGAAAGACCACCTAAACGCATATGATTGATCGCTCACCTGGCAATCAACGGAGCCGACCGCCATGTTATCCTGTTGGAAACGAACTGAAACGAAATACATGTTGCACGCACGGTTCCTATTTCAATCAGTTCAGAAAGTTTATAAATAGAACTGAATCAATTTGCTACACCAGCTGGGGTTCTTTATGATGTAGTTTGAAATGTATTTAGAATGAGCTTTCAAATCACTAGCTGATAAGCTCTCAGTGATTTATTATTCCTTTTTGGAATTTGATCGACAAGCTCGTTTCTTTCCTATGTACAGCGTCTTAGATAAATGGACATCACTTTCAACTGGAATCTATTTCATTAATACGTTTAATTCGCCATTATCATTCTCATTGCTTGATGGCTAACAGTTGAAATAACCACAAAAGCATCTGACTAAACATTTATCGATAAACTGGTTGATCCTATGGAATTCAGCAAGTCATACGATTTGGGAATCTGATTTTACAATAATAGCAATCAGATAGTTTCCTGGTGCGTAGTGAATGTCACTGTATAAATCAACAAAAAGGGAGGATGACCACATGCCCTGTTAATAATGATACCAGTCACCCTATATTCTCGATGCTATGAAACGACATCTGAATCGAAACTTTACCCTTGGATGAAATTATTTACTTTAACTTTGCTACCACTGGCTCGTTGGAAAGGATAAGCTGGGTCCATGAATGTCTCTGATGGCCTCTTTCCGCACTTAGCGGTTGGCTGCGAGATCCTTGCAAATGCTGATCCAGTTTTGATTTCCATCAGCGAGTGCCATACACCATCGAAAGACCAAGTTGGTCGACGTCTTCGAATACAGTGTTCAGCCAGGATTTTAATTACCCACCTTGTCAGCGGCGCCACCCAGGATATGGTGATGGAGCCAAGACAATACTCGTAAAAGTGTCGTCGGGTCTGCAGAGAACATGGCCCAACCATTACAGTCGGTGGCGTTGGACGAGCAACGTGCCGTCGACTTCTGAGGTGCGAGTTTGAGACTGTTCCGCCAGTTTACTTTCGGGATGAATCTTTCATTGTAAATTCACTGTGTACCCGATTCACGTGACTACATCTGGATCAGTCCCTTTATCAATCGAGACAGGGAATTTTGTTTTCTCCAGAATATGATCTAAACAATTCTCTTCTGGTGTGGCGGATGTCTTTACGGATAAATTATTCTCTTAATAATACTTGTTTGGCACAATGGATTAACACCAACAGTCAATCTTCTGCTATGTCGCACCCCTCGAGA